AAAGTACCCTCTGTTGTATTGAGATACCTGTCATCATTTCTAGTTCAAATTATGGTAATTTGTGCATAATGTCAAACTTATACTGTGTATATACATGCGGAAATAGTGGTGTAAGTGGTGTAACATAATCATTAAGACCACATACAGCACAAAAGGCAACAAGAAGCAAAAGAGAGAGAGTGAAAAATAGACAGATAGATATAGATATATAATAAGCAGCAATAGTGGTGTCATTATTTACTAGGTTACACAAGAACATGTTAATGATCCATTTTCAGTGCCATATTCATATATCTGTACCATCATGTTTAATGTCAAGATATTTTATGACACTATGACAATATGCTATCCAAACCATATAACATTGTCATTGCAAGACCATAAAAAATGTAAAATTACTGTTTTATGCCACTTTTCTCTGTTGTAATACATGCATATACAGTATAGTATTTGATCTTCTAACAATATCTAAATATATCTAAATATATAAATAAGCCAGCAATACTGTTGTCAATAACTGTAAATCATCAAGACAAGTAGACAGTACAGTAGTACAAAAGTCGACAAGGAGAAATAAAATGATTTCTGGAAGAACACAAGATAAGGACCAGCCAAAAAAGCTATCAGTTGTTACTTCATTCGGTCATATGTTGGTAATTGTCCTTGTCAGCACAATGGACGTGCATATAAGTCTTCTCGTTGTTATCTGCTAAATGGCATCTCAGTAACTTGGCCATCAGTAAGTACTGAACAGAGTGTCTGAGTGTGAGAACAGCCAAGTCTTGCATATCAGATGTCTAAAACTGGGCCGTCTGGAATAAAAGAGAGAGCGAAAGAGCAAGAGAGAGAGTCTAAAAGGTTAAATATAATGTGGAATTCATCTTGAAGATGCATATATTGCTTGTGTATTTTAACGAACAGATACAATCTCCAATAAAGATCAGTAGAATAAATGTACAGTTTGTTCTCTATATATAAAGCTCCTTTTTCAAAGTGTGTTAATTATCTGGAGCATTCTGTGATGTCAAATAGGTCCCACTAAATACATGGTTAAATATTAATGCTGTACTGTATTTGAAACTGAAGCCTCTGCTGTACTTGGATTACAGGTAGCAATTTACAATGTCTGAGACACGCAACAACACTGATCAAGAGAGTTTGGGGTGAATATATTATAAAAATATTCTTTTAAAATGTATTTGTTCCCTTTATCAAGCCATATTTGCAAGGTCACTGCTTTTTTACCATTACTAAGTTAAGTGACTTGAAAGGTTTTACTGTAATCCTTGTTGCATTATCAGTTATGTTGCACTTTAACCTAGCATGTTTAAGCATTTTATTTGCAGCAATTAAAGCTATCTTTGAGGTTTATTTTAACCGTGGTGCTCAACAGCATATCTGCAAAGGGCAATAAAGAGGGATGTGACATAATTTATATCTGTTGTAGACAGAAAATCAGTGCTTCTAAATCTAATCCTATTCAGTGTTGCAGTCATGTATTCTTTGAATCTTATTATTGAATGTATTGTTTTGTTTTGTTTACACAAGGGCTATCATGTATATGCATTCAGGCAGTTTATTATGTCTCCTCCTTTATAGATATATTATGTATGATATATGTATGTATATATTATATTATGTTCTTCCACATGAAGAACATTGTGGACTAAAAAAGACTGCATTATCTAATAACATCACATATAATAATTTCAATTATGAAGATAGCCAAATCTCTCTGAACACTAAGCACCAAAACCATCCATAATTAAGATTTTTTTATATATATCACTGATCTCTTAAAGCTCCTGATGTTAATAAAAAAGCCTGTGTTAGCCACAAAATACTATTTTCTGTCCATTTAATTCTGATTTATTTATTGTTCTTATTGAGAAATCTGACAGAGGTGGTAGATTGTGTGAATATAAATCCCCTTTTTAAATCGGCTTTACTGCCAAAGATCCAGAGCTTGTCTGTTACGAGTCAAGATTCAAGCCTCTGTGAATTCCACAGTGGTTTCTGTAACAAAATCTGAATTGAATTTGAAACATCCTCCATCCATTCCTGACGGACAGCCTATGTCAGTTTGGTATAAATCTCGACCATAATTACTATGTATCTTTCACATTTTTGTGCAGTTTGCCTACTGACAACTGCTGCCTTTACCATTTGACTACATGATTTTGGCAGTCATTCATAAAAGAGAGAGGGAAACAGATGGATACTCAGAAAGGGAAAGACAATCTCAGTCACGCTCTTTTTCCTTTATGTACAGCTTCGTCAACACAACCACACATAGACACACGTGTACACAGCCACACAAGGGTTTATGTTGGGAAACCGGAGTCTGGTGTTGCAAAGTCTGCCAGTATTCAGTACAAAGCCTCAATGTGCATTAAGAATTAATAGGTCTTCAGTTTCATAGCCCTCACTCTGAGTAAACACCTGAGTGGTCAGGGGGTCTTTATACCAGTGATTATCAACCATCTGTGTCTCGCATGGCTTTTTATGTCCTCAATTACCCATTCACAGACACTGGCATCTTATTACCAAATGTCTTGGCATAGCAATACCATGGTTTAGTTGTACTCATTTTACTAGATTAAAATTGTGAGTACATGAATTCAGTTGAGCATGATAATGATCATTTTTCAGTGCCATATTTATATTGTACTATATTCACATAATTGCACCATAATATTTATCATCATGATATTTTATGACACTACAATGTTTCCCTAACAATATCACATTCTCATTGCAAGGCCATAATAAATAATGTAAAACAACTATTAAAAAATGAAATCTGACTGTTTTAGTCTGTTTCTCTCTCTCTCTCTCTCTCTCTCTCTCTCTCTCTATATATATATATATACACACCACATCACTGTTATTAGTATTATTTTTTATATTATTGTATTATTTATATTTTTAGCTTTTATTTTTATATTTTAATTTTAAATGTAGTTTAAGTGTTTTTTATTTTTATATTTTCATTTTAAGTGTTAGTAATTTTGTTATGTGCTTTTGTTACTTTTTATTAGTTTTTGTTATTGAAAATTTCTATTTAGCTTTAATTTATATTGATTTGGTTTTAGTTTTGGTTTTCAGTTTTTACTTCTATTACTGTTTTTCAGTTGTCAAAGCAACAAGTTTTTTTACATTTAGGTTCTAAAATGTATTAGAACTTAAATGTAAAGTTAATAAAAAATGCGTATTACATTTTATTTTAGCTTTAACACACACACACACACACACATATTTATATAGTTTTAAGATACCAGACACCCCTCTGCAACCAGTCAGTGCGGAAACTTTTAGGTAACCTGAAAGAGGCATAAAACACACATGTTGCATGTGTTGTGGGTATAACCACTGCATGATTCACTCTTTCCCTTGGTTTTACAAGCTCTGGAAAGGCAAACATGCAGGAACCACCCAAGTTCATGCTGTACTGTTTTAGACGTAACTGTTTTCTTAAAAGGAAGTTTGATTCAGTCATCTCCTTTTTGGAGGGGTGGTGGTTAGAGTTGAGGGGGTGCAGAGGCATGGAAAACATCTGGGGTAAATAATGAACCCTATGATCCAACAGCACCTAAGACGAATACAATACAAATGTATAACGATACTGAGGGTGGTTTACTCAACTGATAATCTCAGTTGCTCCTGCTGCTCTTTTGGTATGAAAATGCCTCAACCCCCCTAAGCAACAGTCTGTCTTCTCATCCCTTCAATATCCAACAAACCTGGGACATGGCCAGAGACAGGTGGCCTGCAAGGAAGGAGCTAAGGCAGTCAAGCATTGAGAAGCTGGCTAGGTGCTTGATGTGGCCTTGATAAGCACAACAGGATCTGGTTGATGGCATCACTACTTTTGCTATTGTTTTTGACTTTTTGAAGTTGTATTAATAAAACTCCTTTCTTTATGACATAGGACTATTGATTTACTTTTCCTATAGGCCTATTGTTTTTTTTCGTTCAATGATAAAAAAGCAGATGTGTGTGCCTTAAATGACCATTCAACAATAAAACATTAATCAGATATTTTGAGCTTGTTTTGCTAAAACCAATAAGGGATTTCAATCTTGATAGAACGGCCACTTTTAATAATCATTAATAATAACATTTTAATAATCATTCTAATTCTATAAGATAGAGACACCATAACTATAAAGATAACAACACAGAGGAACAATATATTTGGGATCACTTTCAGAATTATTATTATTATTATTATTATTTTATTTATTTATTTTATTTTTATGTATTTTTTTTTTTTTTTTGCAGCTGAAGAACAATAAACACATTGAAAAAAACATTGTGGATTATAGTTACATTTAAGTTACACTTAAGCACAACTTTCCTGTTTACACATTTAATGCACATTCTGAAAAAGTTTATTTGAATCTAAAAATTGTACAGTGTGTGCATAAACTACAGCCCAACACCATACAATTAAGCTCCTATGGAGAACATATTCTTATCTGTGTGAAGATGCATTGTAAATATTAGGACCATACTAAGAAATGTGGTTATATTTGACATCAAATTTGAGGGTTATGTAATTGAAAAAAATCTTAACATTTACCCAGAACATTAACACTATAATTTTGGCCTCCTAAGGGTGGAATTCACAACAGCTCAGGTGATTCCCTATTTCAGCTCTAAGTTAAATGGCATTTAAGGCCGGGCGGGCAAATTCTACAGTGTGTGACCAGGGAGTGACGCATTGCAGGTACAAACAAACCAATCAGAGTCATCCGCACAACCGCAACGCGATAAGTATTCTTCCGCCGTCAGATAGTCCGCCTGCATTTTTGCCTCAAGATCAGCCGACAGCACAATACAATACCATATCGTTTTTGAAGAAGGACCTGTATCACGTTTACTCAAGCTTAGTGTGCTTTCGTGGGCAAATATTGCGGCATTTCCGACGCACCGCTAGCCAGAATGCAGTGCGGTTGGCGGATGGATACAGGGAGATGGGAGGTGTTTATGTACGACCGTTAAGGCGGGTCTATACCAATATTCCGACCACCATTTGTGAATCTCTCACGGAGACGGAGGGAGACAGACAGAGAAAGAAAAAATGGTGAGTGCACACCAATATTTCTAATAAATGATGGATATGCGTTAATGAAGAGATAAAAGATCTTAACATATATTTGCGCGGAAATCAAGAAATAGATAAAGAGATTTCTTCAGTCGTTTACAGAAATATGCCGCCAAAAATTTACGACTAAGTTACAGTGGATAACGTTAACTTACCAACCGCATCGCATCTTCTATCGTTATTCCTTCGGGTTTTACTGTATTTTTTTGTCATATTCCGCTTCTGATTTTTATATATAACAGGCTAAGAAATTCTGCGCTAAACCAAAGGAATTAACGTTAACTTACTAAACTTCAGAGGTCTGCTGGAGCCCATTCACTTTCAGTTTTCCTGTTGAGATAGTAGTTTTGACTAAACTTTGTTATAGGGTTCAGTAAGTCACAGTATATACAGTCTTTGACAGAATTCGTTTCTATGTAAGCCCTGTTTGTACCAAAAGTATCCTGGTTGGTTTAGATGTTAAGTTGACTGGACAGCAGCACATGTGAGCTAAGTTACGTTAACGTTAACGTACCCGGCCATAACGGATTTCTATAAGAAAAGTAACTTTAGCTGGTTAAACCGGAAAAAACTGTTATGTATTGTGTTTTTTGCCTAAAGTCGTGGAGGGTATATTTATTCTAATTCTTGAACCATCTTAAGATATTAATGTTTAGTATCACATCTGTTTTGCTCATATAAAGTTGTCGGTTTATTTTAATGCGCATATTCATGTTAAAACGTAACGTTAGTGATCAGATTCAGTCATTATGAAATAGCCCGCAGTTCTCTTACTAGGTTACTCGACTCGAGCATTATGGCACAGGGCTACTATAACAATAAAAAGGTTAAATTACTATCTAAAATAACTGTCTATAGTGCCACGAGGGAATAGTTCACCAAATACAGGGAATCAGGTGGGTGGATGAACTGCTGTTGTTAGGAGTGTCTAAATACCGTCGCTATGGTGGGACTTTATTCTCTACAGCTGGTGTCATAACATTTGGAGGGAGGCAATCTGAGGTCTTTGTTTGGTCTCACACGGGTTGCTAGACATTGATGTCAGAGAACCAAAACACTATGAATTCTTAGTGAATATATCATCCACACTATGTAGTAATATGGTTGTTTGTCATCTTTTTCCATCCCCAGGCTGATCAACTCACAGAGGAGCAAATAGCTGGTAAGGACATGCACTTTGCTTACACACCCCTTCAGAGTTTCTGTACTGGATTATGGCGTTTTGCAATAGCCTGGCTGTTCTAGTTTTTTATAATTGCTAATTTGTTGCCTTTTAAGGTTGTAACTTAGTCAAATCTGTGTGCATGGATGGGTTATCGCTTGCTTGAATGTGCAGGCTCATAACTTTTGCAGCTTCTAACAAGAAATATGTGAACCTAAACTATAACAGATACTGTACATATAAGTGTAACTGTAATTTAAGAAATTTTCTTATGTTAAATTATTACTATTTATACTATTTTTTTACTTGTGTATTTTTAGGGTTATAAATTGGGGTTATTCTAGTTAACTGAAACTAAAATTAAAACCATAATTTTTTTGTTACTAAATAAAATAAACATTCCTGCTAGTTGATAGGGCAACATTTCTCATTTTAATTTATACTAACTACTAAAAGGACAAAAACACAAGAAAGTTACTAAAACTTTAACTAAAATTAAAATAGAAAATAGAAAAATAAAAACTGATTCAAAATATTAATAAACACTCTATTAGTGTTTATTAATGGAGTTATTATCATTATTTTAACTTTATTATATTGAGGTGGGAAAGTTGTAATTTTTCTGTATTTTTTGTTCCTTTGGATAGTATAACATTTCATAAAAATACAATTAATAAGTGAGCCCAATGCATTTCCTTAAGCTTCAGTATTATTTTGCATGTTTTTAGTAAAACATTTTGAATGGGCCCATGTTTTGTTTAATAGGAAAGCTGGGTGTCCATCTGTATTGTCTGATGTTATATCACAGGAAGTATCAAATAGTCTCATCAGCTCTGCGGGGAGTTCGTATTGCCCTTTAGTGTTCAGACCACTGGGCAAATGCATGCACTGGTGAAATGCACTCTCACTTGTCACAATAGTTTTGTCCCGACTATGCCTGCAAGGATCAATTCTCCTCATTTAAACTGATCAGTGACAGTGCTGACTCTTACTGGACTTTTACAACATGTTGTCTTTTGAAATTGAATCTAGAAGGTGCTTGAGGCATCTACGCAAAGTGATTTGTTTTGCATGTTGTCTGTGCATGTAACTAATGGTGCTCGGCAGGTCTGGTTGAACTGCCTTCACTGAAAGGCCTTAAAACAAGTACTAGTGGTCAGCTGTTGCCATGGCTCTGGGGTGTTTGTGTGTGTCTTCCACAGCATCCTGTCACCCAAGACATTCATCTATGGAGGCGTTTGTTGTTACTGGTCTTGGCAACAGACAACTGTAATAAATGCTACTTTTAGGGTTGGGATCTTGTTGTAAAGTTTAAACTTGGCCTTTTTTTTTTTTTTTACAAAGTGGCCATGTGGAATTATAATGCCCACAAGTAATGAATTATTCGAAAAGCTTGACATGAAGAAGTAGAAGTACTTTACCTGTTCCTTTTGTTTATTGCTAAAATGGAAAAGCGAACGATATGTATGATATTTGCAGTAGGGTTTATGAATATGTGGTTATGTGGCTCAAACACTGATCTGTCTCCCCTGGTTATCCTTCCAGAGTTCAAAGAGGCGTTCTCGCTATTTGACAAAGATGGGGATGGCACCATCACCACAAAAGAGCTGGGCACTGTCATGCGCTCTCTTGGCCAGAACCCTACAGAGGCGGAGCTGCAGGATATGATCAATGAGGTGGATGCAGATGGTGAGGACACATTTTTGCTGCTACATTAGCCGTCAGCATGATGTTAACTCTTGCGAGTAGGGTTTAATTTGCATATGACTTTAACCATTTTTAGGAAGTGTTTTATCACAATTAAATTGTGATCATCATCACTTATCATCACTTATCTGACTGTGTACTTTACCCTTTAATCAGGTAATGGAACAATAGACTTCCCTGAGTTTCTGACGATGATGGCAAGAAAGATGAAGGACACCGACAGCGAGGAGGAGATCAGAGAAGCTTTCCGTGTCTTTGATAAAGTAAGGCTTCTGAAGAACTGTTGAATTCCGTTAACCTGTTATTAAGGTTTTCCTAGCAACATTCCAAGACTTAATGTGGATGGATTGTTCTCTTTGTTTAGGATGGGAACGGATATATCAGTGCTGCTGAGCTGCGCCATGTGATGACGAACTTGGGGGAGAAATTAACAGATGAGGAGGTGGATGAAATGATTAGAGAAGCAGACATTGATGGAGATGGCCAGGTCAATTATGAAGGTGAGTGTCGTAATTTGCATAGTAAATTGTGTAAATTGAAATGATTTAGTACGAATTTAGAATTTTTTTGCAGTGACTCAGTGATGCTTAATCCACCCTTTTCTCTTTCTTCACAGAATTTGTACAGATGATGACAGCGAAGTGAAGGCCTTGTACAGAATTTCTTGTATAAAATTATCTGCCTTTTCTTGTTTTTAATTTCTGTAAAATGTTTCATTTTAATTTCTCCCCATCCTCTCCTGCTGTCCAAAGGATCTGCATGTATACTATAAGATTTGAGTGCTCATGCCTTCCCCCAACTCCTAATCATCGTAAACAGTCTGTTAGAAGGAGCAGTTTTGGGACCAGGTGATACGTATAGGCACAGATACTGACTACGCACAGGCCCCTTTTCCACTTCTTTTGCTCTGTCTGCCTGCCATCAAGGGTCCAGCTGACGGACAGTGTGGTGTCATTTCAACTATGTTTGGCATGATTCTTTTTTCTTCTCTTTTGATTTTATGTGGAGGTGCAACTCTGCATGGACAATGGACTGAGTATAAATAGAAATGGGAAAGTCCTCAGCACTGCACTATTGCAACATCATTGAATTAAATACTAACGGGTTTATCGCCAGGTACTCATACACTCTAATCTTTTTGTATTTGTTCTGTTCTTACTATGCTTTTTAATTAGTCACTTTTCTTTTGTAACTGCTTAAGGCAAAGCCATGCCTCAGAATCCATTCCAAGTTGTATATTTGTTTTCCAATAAAATGTTCAATTTACCCAAAAACGGCTTCCCTGCCTTTATTTCAAATAACTGCTCGGGTGGAATCTAAAAGAGAGAATTTGACAGTATTTTGGTTGATTAGCATTAACTAACAAGATATGTCACTACTATTAAACTGCATTTACATGTTAGTCCACTCCAGTAATAAGATGGTTTTACTCACCTTGTTATTGCTACATACTTTGGTGTGACATTGCATGACGATAATCAGTGTAATTAGGTACTTTTAAAGACTTGATAAGTCAAGATGTCTTACATAGGAAAAATTGTGCAATTTCTGTTTAAATTGTTATCTATGTTTGCAAATAACTTACAAAGTGACTGCTGCATCCTCTGGCCAATCTGATGGCCATTGCTCTGCTGTTTACAGGATTGAAAATAACAGACTTCAAACCACTTATGAGTAAAACGTGCACACTGAGGTTGCTTGGTCTAATGTTTGAAGTGACGTTTTATAACTTGCTGGTAAATGCCACAGCTATTCAAAAGCTTAATATCTGTATAGGACTGGTCCTCCTAAAAAGTGCTCTAGCACCTGGTCAGACTTCCAGGCTAATTCTCTTTCAACTCAAAAGCAGGATGCTTATTCTGCTAAACCTCTCGCCACAGCTATTCAAAAGCTTAATATCTGTATAGGACTGGTCCTCCTAAAAAGTGCTCTAGCACCTCTGGTCAGACTTCCAGGCTAATTCTCTTTGAACTCAAAAGCAGGATGCTTATTCTACTAAACCTCTACTTACAGTTCAACATTACAGTCTCCTTAAAAGGGCTTGTTGAAATGTTGCCAGAGTTCCTCATGTTAGATACACAACAGATTTTGTTGCTGCAAGACTGAAATACAAACACTGCCCGAGTGTTTCATTGTTAACAAGCTGTGCACAAATGGTGATGTGCCTTTGAAGTAATCATGTCTAGGTGACTGCGAGTTTGAGGAATGAGCAAAGGCTCATTCACAATGCAAACAAATGCGAAGCAATGGTGATGGAGGCCAATGAGGCATAAACGGCTCACTGTATCGAGGGAGATATGTGCGCATCTCATCTCGGGGAACTATTTACCACCGTGCTAAGCTTTCTGACGTGTGATATTCGTGTTCCATCACGTTTCCTAGCAACCGTGAATCCCAGTCTCACGGGTAGCTGCTCTTTCCCTTTTCCAGTAGGCTCTGAAGGATCATCGGGAGTTGAGCAGTGCTCCCATGTTCACGTCATGTAACTATGCAACTGACTGACGATGGAGTTGTGGCGCTCTGTGGAGGTAGAGTAAATAAAAGACAAGGCCATACTTTGTATTTGTAAAGTCAGCCAATGGCAATACATGAGTAGACTTTCATTAAATGGAGACCAGTAGAAGAAAGAATGATTTCTGCCTTCTAGTGTTTCTGCCCTTCTGGTTTGCTTAAAGATTCTGTCCGTGTTATGGATTAAAAGGCACAGCAGACAAAGTCCACAAGACAACCGAGTCATCATGGGACCTTGTGATATTACTGCCATGCAGGCTAACAATAGCTCTTCCCCTTATTGTTATGATATCAGGCCACCAAAGACACTCTATCACTGCACTAGAAAAGATATCTCGAAACCACCTCAAGTCCTCAGCAGTTCTTATGGTGTTATTTTAGTAATTTCTTCATTGTCATGGGAAAGAAGAACTGAAAATGAAATATGAGTTTTGGGAAGTGGCAAAGCAGGTTCAAATCTATTTTAAATACAATCATTGTGTTCTGCATGGAAGCTAATTATTGCCTCAGAGTAAAAAAATGTAATAGGTAAAAGGTAATTGCAATTTTATTTCTCAAAATCATGACTATATTTCACAATTGCGAATGCATATCTCACAATGTGACTACAGCTCAAAATGAAGACTTTGTCTCACAATTAAAACCTTATTGTTCATGTTTCTCATATATATTGGCTCAAAGAAAAAAGAAAAAGCTGAAAAAAATGGAAGAAAATTAATATTGCTATTTTATTTCTCATAATTACAAATTTAGATTTCACAATTGCAACTTTATATTTCACAATTAACTTCAAACAATCAAATCACGTATACCTCGCCTCAGAGAAAAAATGAAAAACTTATTTCTCATAATTGTGACTTAATATCTCACAATTGTGACTGTTATAATTTCAAGTTTATATCTTACAATGTCATTAGCTTACAATTAAAAATTCACAATTTCCTGTTTTTCAAATAAAATTGAAAAAGGTTGATTTTTTTAAAATAAAAATGGCAATTTATTTTAATTTACTTTATTACATTTATTTTAATTCTCATAATTGTGACTTTTTTTCCCCCTTTTTTTATTTTTCGTATTTGCAATTTCAAGTTATATTTAGACTTCATCTCACAATTACCTGAGGTGAAAACTGCCTTCCATGATTCTGAGACCATTGACCGTTGGTAACATTTAGCTTGGGAAAATACTGAATCATCTCATTAACTAGCACTCTGGTGTCAGGTGAGTGAGGTATTCCCTGTCAAATATCCATCTCTGTCTTTTTGATTGTCCTGTTTCTGGAATGCATCAGCTGAAAAGTTCTCTGCTCATCTGGCCCTTGTGTTGTTGCCATCCTTATGATTATTGCTATCACTCAGCAAGGACACAATGCCAGCCATTCTCAGAATGTGTCAGCCGCCTCACATACAGCCTTCCGTACCACACTGACACTTAATAAGATCATCTTTCTCCCTGGGTCCTGGCTGTCCACCCTCTCTGTACGTGGTTTGGCAATCGCTGTGGCCATTATCACATGTTGCTGATGGATGTGTGTGTGTGAGCGCAAGCTCCCAGCTGCTCCTGTTGATGTGCCATGATAAATGGGAAAGGGGTGTTTAATGGGCCCCTGTGCACTCTTGTGGTTATTTTTCAATCCTGGGTTCAGGGATGGCTCGGGGCGTCGCAACCCCTGGGCCCAGTTTGTACCAAAAAACAAGCCAAAAACAGAAATCACAGGAGGGCGGCAACGAGAACAAACAGTTATTTCATATAAATGCCACAGTGTTGGTCAGTTCAAAAGCCTTTTTTTCTCAGAGATGAAATTACAGCTCTAATTTAAAGGAACAAGATAGGTCCAGTTGCCTAGAAGCCCGGGGTTTGATTAGTCTCCTTGTACGGCAGCCAAACCCAATTCAGATCTCAGCCAGGTTAGCAACTGCTAATAAAGAAGGAATTTTAATGGGGTTAGTGCTTGGCAGCCTCTTGGTCGCAACAGGTCTCCATAGTCAAGGTTTGGATGGGACGGTTTTTACAGCATGTGCCAAAATTAACACCTCCTCCTGAGTCTCTCTGCCCCTCTGAAGGGATTGAGTGACTCCTGCCTCGGGAGTCCGATGACATGTAATGTCGGTGTAACCGGATTACCAGGTTTGATTGAACCACACAAAAACATGAGTGCTCAATGTCCTCATCGTTGTTTGGGCACTTAGCCCGAAATCCAATGAATTAAAAAACACAGGCGATCTGTTTCAAACATAAAATGATCTTTTGGAAACCCACCAGATGAGATTGAGTCATAGAAGGCCTAATACGGACAAAATTGGGTCATAAAACTAATCCGTTTTCATTAATGGTGGCTCATTTTTCTGTCTAGAAAGGCACACTGTAGATACAAGCAACATGCGCTATTTCTGCCCACCTTCAAAGGCCAGGGAGGGGGTGGTGAGAGAGAGAGAGTGAGAGAGAGAGATCGGGTGTGGGAGGTGGAAGTTGCTGAAAATAGTGGAAAGCAATTAGTATATCACAAAGTTCAACCCTGGGGAGAAAAACTGGTGAGATTTTTGAAACAAAAGAGCTGTGTTCTCAGATGAGCAAGAAACTGAGGAGAGAAGCAAGAAAGAGATAGGCAGTTAAATGGGGGAGGGGAAGCGTAATGTAACTCACAAGGATTTATTTCCACATTTGAAATACAGAGGTCTATTTACCTTAAAGGGACAGTTCACACAAAAATGAAAATCCTGTCATCATTTATTGAGCCGTAAGTTGGTCCAAAACGTTCTCTCGTAATTTACTTAACCTCATCGCAAACCTTTGACTTTTGTTTTTCTGCAAAACCCAAAAAGAGCAAACTTATTGAAGCACCGATAAGTCTTACAGTTATTAGCATGATCTTAATTAAAAACTGAGATTTTTGAAACAAAAGAGCTGTGTTCTCAGACGAGCAAGAAACTGAGGAGAGAAGCAAGAAAGAGATAGGCAGTTAAATGGGGGAGGGGAGCGTTAATGTTAGCGTAATGTAACTCACAAGAGTCTGACGCCAGGAGGAGTGGTTCATTTCTGGCACAATGCCACAAAGAACTCTTTTCAGGGAAAAAAAAGATGTTGGAAACTGAGATTATGTCAAGAGCCACTCAAAATAATTCTAAAGGTGAAGCCAAGCGTGCTGGAAACAGAGTTTGTAGGTCATATAACTCAAACTGAAGAGGAAAAGGACAGTTTAAGTGCTAGCATGGTTTTTTTGGGTTGCAGTTTGTCTTTGTAATCACTTTTTCCAAGGGCTAGGACGACATTACTGTGCTACCTTTCTCTAATACTCATGTGTTTTTGCCTGCTGAGGGGAGCGAATTAAAATGTCACCTGAATTCTTCTTCATGCTGTTAAACCAGACTGCATTTAATCTAAGCAAGGTGCCCCAGGGTCCATCCTTTCACTTTACTAC